GCTTTGGAACACCATCCTAGCTTCCCAACAGTTGGATTGGGTGATGCCTAGACGATTTGAAGATGTGTTGCTGGCATGGAGGAGGAAACTTCGCGACAAGGAGAGTAGGATTGTATGGAATCTTATTCCGGGATGCATTGTATGGTGCGTATGGAGGGAAAGGAACATCCGCTGTTTTGAAGACAAGACAAGAACAAAAGAGCAGTTCAGAGAATTATTTTATCTAACCTTGTTTAGTTGGTTTAATACTGTAGCTCCTAATCATGTAGACGAGTTGCCTAATTTCATGTCGCTTATGTGTTGTCTAAATTGATAATACATTCCTCATGTATTATCCTTTGATGAATAAAATTTTCTGATTACTTATAAAAAAAAAGAATTATCTCAAATATGTAAGTTGCTCTACTTCCTTCAGAAGGAATAGGTAAAGTCTTTCTTTTGCCCAGTTTACAAGTTGCACAATTAGGAAATATAGTGGAAGAAGAATGCTCTTTATTAGGCAATAGACCAGATTTCAATAAATAAGATAGAATCCTAGAATTTGGATGGCCAAGACTCTTAGGCCAGACTTCATTTGACACTTTAAACTCGTTACAAAGTAAAGACATGATTGAGGAAGATAAGCTATGTGGAACATGTAGTTGCAGAGAAAAGAGACGTCCATACTTAGGTCCCTTCGCTGTCACCTACCCTGATGTCCTTGACATATGATCATGTACAATACAACAATCATTAGTAAAATGTCCATTATAGTTTTGATCCACAAGCTGGCCGATGGATATTAAATTCACATACGGATCTGGCGACACCAGAACATCATTAACGTTAGATAATACATCACCAACTGCCTCAATGGATAGAGCACTACCGTTGGCTGTTCGGATATGTGGGGAGCCAACATATTTTCTGATATTACTTAATTCATGGAGAGAATTAATCATATGATTAGAGGCACTTGAGTCTATGATTTAACGACCCAAATTTTACACTTAGAATTATTATACATGTATCGTAAAGAGTACTTTCATAATCAAAAGAAAAAAATAAATGATGTTTTCTTAAGATGCGATGATTTAAAATTAGTTTGAAGAAATACAATGAACATTATTAAAATCTTTAATTACATAATTTATTCTTCATTTTTAACCCATGCAACTACAATCCACCTCCGATCGCCTCCAACCTACCTTTTTAGTTACCTAAAAAAAATTTAACATATACATATGAGATATAAATATTAGTAGATGAGTGATAACGAATTTCATCTCATATTTAAATACGGAAAATCATTACATACATATGGAGACGCGGGGAATTAAAATCTGAACTTCGTGGCTATAATTCCATGTGTAGCTCTACTGAACTCCTATCATTTGAACTTACACATATAGGACCCTTATCATAATTATAACTTGAATGTCCGTATCATCATGTTTATAACATAAATTTCCATAATTTAAACAATGAAAGATTAGTCCGTACTACTACACTTGCAGTCGTATGGAAGAAGATCAAAGTAAATCGAGGAAATCTTTTTGTTAGACTTTCACTCCAAAATTCCTTTAACACCGTGCGTGCTAAACTTTGTAATATGAAAGTGTACGTAGAAGATGACTTAAACGAAAGAAATCTGTAAGGTACAAGTTTAGTTGTGAGCGAGTGTAAGTAATATGAGGCGGTATAAATAGGGGTTTCTAAGGTTTGACTATATTACCTATTTTAGTACAAACATTCATTCCCTTATCAATATCGCATGTTTTTCCATATAGCATAAATAATGTTTCTAATTTTAATAAATGAACATTTCTCTAATTATGATAATTAACCAATTAATTAGGTCAATTGACATACAATATTTAAATCAATCATGTAATCATATTACTAAGATTTAGCCAAGGAAAAATCTGCACATGTATAAAAGAAATTGCTCTATGGTCTTACACTATTGGTCAACATTTAATTAGGTCTCCAAATAAAAAAAAACACTTCTAGCCTCTAAGTTCAATTCTAACGGCTATCTAAGTTGTTTCCGGATGTTATATATGATCCAAGAAGTAGATGAAAAACCATTACCTTGAAGACCAAATGCTGAAAAGGCACTCACAATCATTTCCTGCACCATCTCTTGATAATAGGTTATGGAGGCTGTAAACTAACGGCAGACGTTGCAGCATCCACATTAGTAATGGCTAGTTGTAAGGCAGCAGAAGTAACAGTAACATGATAAGCCTTATTGTAGCGCGAGGGACGAACAGGACACTCCTTAATATTGTGTCCTGTTTGCAGTAGTTACAAACATTCTGAGGACAGTGAGGAGCAATATGGCCATACTTCTTACAACTATAGCACTATGTGGTGCTCATATCACATCCCTTTCACTTGCCATGAGCAGATTAGGCAACTGAGACAGTATTAGAAGCAACACGTGCCTGTTCCATAATATTGAGTATTGAGACTTTGTTTCTCACGCAAGAGTTCTCCAAAACATGCCTCCAAAGTTGAACAGGATCTCTATTTACTAGAGAGGCACAAACAGATTCAAAATCAGACTGCAATTTCATCATAAATTCGTCTCGTTGGCTGGTTTTGTGTAAATGTTGTACTACTTCCAATCCTTCTGCAGAGACCTTGGCTGTAACAAGGTTTGGATAATCATTCCACAAAGTGAGAAAACCAGAGTAATAATCTTGAATGGGTAGGTCTCCTTGGGTATAGTTAGCAATAGCCAACTCAAGCTGGAAGCGCGTAGCATTGTTGTCTTGGTTATAGACTTGCTTGACATAATCCCACATAGCCTTTGCAGGCCTATGAGGACGCAGAGAAAGAATCAGATGTGGTTCCATAGAACCAAGAATCCATGACATGATCTGATTATCTTGGGCTGCCTTTTCAGCGGCAACAGATCCTCCTTTGTTGCTCCGATCTATATGACCCTAGAGCTGTTTACCTTTGGGAAATGTTTCTAGTTGAAATTCCCATGCAGCGTAATTTTTTCCAGTGAATCTGACACAAACATTATCTGACTTCTCCATAATTTTTGAGGCTATGACTGAAAAAAAAAAGAAGGAATGATATTTCTTAGAATATGGCTCTTATACCATAACAAAATGGTTCAAATTGTCCTCTCTTCTGAGAAGGTCTTTCATTATAAAAGCAAAATTAACAAGCATACAAGGAAACTTAAGCTATACATGCTAATTACATAAGAGTGATTTTAGGGAGCTATATTTGGTAAGCTATACATGGTAAGCTAAATCTCTTCTCCTATTTACAGCCTAGATTAACAAGTCAATTACAGAATTTATGCCCCTGTTATGTTATACAACATAATTATTGCTTTCTATTGACATGCATGTGCTATCCAGTTGCTATTCTGATCTTGACCAATGGAATGTCTTGATTACTGGAAATTGCCCCTGAAGGCATCCTCTTATGTGGGATTCATGTCTTTTTCTGAAACATCTAAAGTGATCCTTTCCCATAGAACTAAATGACGGGTGCTATTATCAAGTTTTGTAGCAGGAAGGTATCTACCAAATTAGCTTCTGTATACTTAGCTAACACTCGTTGGGTCCATAAATTTCGAATAATGAAAAGAATGTTTCCAATAGATTACGGAAACCTCCCTCGAGTGTTTTTTTCCATAACAGATTTGCCCATCAGCCAAAAATAAATTTACGTTTCCAATTTCACCCTTTTGTATTTACAACATAATTGAAAATTTTGAACTATTATTAAATGAAATTGAAATTATCATTGTTTCTCATTTTTTTTTTTCATTTTGTTAATTTTTTTTTATTTAAATGCAACTAGGGCCTTTAGTTAAAAGAAATGTAGTTAAATTTATGTAGTAATGTTCAAATGCATTTATGATATGTATTTTATTTCTAAAATGATTAATAAGGTCTTCAAAAAATATTGAGAACATCTTGTTTGCATACGATAATTGACAAATGAACACAAATAAATGCTTAGTAATTTGGAAGTTCACTTGATCCAGTTAATTTGAATTTTTATTGTCAGATGACAAGATTAAAATACTTTTGTATTCCTATTCTTGAAGATACACAAAAGTTAATTTTGACAAATAATATTGATGTGTAATTATCCATGTTCTAAAAAACGTGAAAACACGCCGCCTAGGCACGCCTAGGCGCGACACGCGTCCAAACCGCGTCGAATTCTGGAAATGCGGGAAAAATGCCTTTTCCATCTAAAAGGCGCGCCTAATGTGTGCCTAATGCGCGCATTATCCTGCCTAATCCCCCTTTTTTTTTTAAATCTATTTTTTTTTATGATATATTAAAAAATGTATTTTTTTATATAAAATATATGTAATGCCTTAAAAATACGAAACGCATTATGGCGCTTATTCTTCGCATTGACACGCCTAAACTTGTGATTCTTAATTCTCGGTCTCGACGCTTCGCAACGCATTATGCATTTTAGAACACTGGTAATTATTCGTGTAAAAGGAGGAAAGACAAAAAAAAAAAAAGAACTTTCTTTAAGCTTAAGAGAATTTTCTTATTAGAAAGAAAGTATAGTTTAAAATATAACATAAAATAAATTGTTAAATAGGAAATGGGTGTTAATTTTGCCTTCAACGGGGGTTTTGGTAAGTTTTAAAAAGAGATGGGATGTCTCTATAATATTCAATTACGTCATAGGGTGTCTATGTAATTTACTCGTAAAATTATACTCAATTGTTGACAATGCATCTTCCAAGTGTACTGGGATAAAAGTTTGTTCTGCTACCAAATTCCACCATTTTAAACCACTAAATTTGTACAAGTTCCTATATTTTGGATGATAAGATTTCATGGAGTCTTACCTAGATTCATACAGCACTTTTCTCTGACCCCTTCTCCATCATGTTTTTATACTTCTGACTTTCTTAATTCGATGACTGTTACAGCCAATTGGTGATATTGCTGAAAGGTTTCATGCTTTATGCCTTAAGGATAGTGGTGTGCTGTATGAGGACCCTTATATTCAGGTGCACAACCTTTTAGTACTATTTTGCTTAATTGTTCTGCAGCGGCCTACGTTCCCTTTAAACTTTCAAGCAATATAAGCAGGATAATGATTTTTCTCCCTCTGCCAACTGTTTTTTTTTTTTTTGGGGGGGGGGGGGTAACATACTTTTCCAGATTGGCATTAAAGCAGAATGGCGAGCACAGCATGGACGGCTTGTTCTTTTCTTGGGAAATAAGAATATTGCTCCACTTGTATCAGTTCAAGCTCTGATATTGCCCCCGTCACATTTAAAAATGGAACTCTCACTAGTGCCTGGGACTATTCCACCTAGGGCACAGGTCTGATTTTTCTTTATCCTGAAAGTAATCTCGTCTTCCATGTTCTTTAATATCATAGATGGTAATTTTCTTTGTCAAAATTAACTCTTTTGGTTGCTTAGGTGCAATGCCCACTTGAAGTAATCAACCTCCGGCCAAGTAGAGACGTAGCTGTTCTTGATTTCTCATATAAGTTCGGAACCCATGTGGTATTGTGCCCACTAGTTTTGAAAACCAAAAATAGAATCTGTTTGTTTGTATTTGCTAAAATATGGAAATTTGCATCATCAGGTCAATCCTAAACTGCGCCTTCCTGCTGTGTTGAACAAGTTTTTGCAGCCTATTCAGGTGTCTCCTGAAGAGTTTTTCCCGCAGTGGAGATCACTCTCAGGGCCACCATTGAAGCTCCAAGAAGTTGTATGTGCATTTTGGATATTTTCTCAACTTCACATATCTAAGCTAGAAGAATACATATTTAAGCTTATTATCATATAAATGAACCAGGTTAGAGGTGTAAGACCAATGCCACTTGTGGAAATGGCAAACTTATTTAACGGTTTTCGGTTGACAGTTTGCCCTGGGCTTGTAAGTCGCAGATCCTATTGAGTTTTAGCTCACTCCATGCTTATAATTTTGACCTCTAATCAGGGAGTTTGTTTATTCTTTGATTTTCTGTCCAGGATCCCAATCCCAATAATATGGTCGCTAGCACAACATTCTATTCCGAAAATACACGAGCCATGTTATGTTTGGTAAGCTGGTTTTAGAAAGTTTGTATACCGTGCATTTGTTTTTAATGCTATATAGGAATTTTACAGTGAAACCATATGATGGGCATTCAATGAAAAGATTACCTGGACCCTTGCTCTTAGAACTTGATTTTGACTCTGAGCACAACTGTCTATTCAGCAAATGAAACTGGCCAGGCATGCTTAAAATATTGTGCTTTGTCATCTTATCTATACTCCATAATTTACTTGAAGGAAAATTGTCGTAACATTGAAAAGAACAAGTTGGTCCTCTTTTTCATGATAGTTATACAATCAACAACAGAAATCGTAGAAATCTCATGTGACCCTCACATTCTCAAGTTTGGCCGATATCATAGAAATCTGCTAGGCTCTCTTCCATGAAGGTTCCATGTCTATTTAATGGAAAATTGAATCTTCTCTGTTGTTGAATATTGATTATGCAACTATCAATTTTTTTTTTTTGGTTGGATAAGAAGTTATAGATTTCCCTTGTGAAATTCAGTCATTATGTTTTACGGCTCTATTAGCACTGCTAAATGACAACTCTCTCATCGGAAATTTCTTTTCTATCAGGTAAGAATAGAAACAGATCCAGCAGATAGAACCCAGTTGCGTATGACCGTTGCATCTGGAGATCCTGCACTGACTTCTGAGTATGTTTCAATCTGTTTAGACCAAAACGGCAATGTTTATAGAATCTATATGGACCTCATAATTAATCGCTGTATCTTATGCACAGATTGAAGGAGTTTATTAAAGAACAATTAGTTAGCATACCAGTTCCTTCTCGAGCACCCGCACCTGTGCCTCCACCAGCTCAGCCAGTCAGTCCACCGACTGCCACATCAGATCCTGGTGCTATCCTTGCTGGTTTACTGTAAGTTTAGTTCTTAATGAGGACCATTTGTAACACTGTTTACACAGCAAACCCATTTCCGATCCATACATCCTTGAAGCATAGAGCTTTCTTTCCCTGTCCTTGGGAGGTCTTATTCCTAATCTGGTAGGGCTGAACGGCTGATTTTTATCCCGCCTTGCTTCACGGATGGGATGAGGGCGGGCGACCCTAAAATCAATTTCTTAAAGAAGTAGCAAGGGTCAAATTGTATGTAAACCGGCTTAGCATTAGAGTAGGATTTTGGAGGCTGTTGAAGTTTTGATCATTCTTTTGTACAATTACATTGTGCCTTTTCTTTTTCTTTGGTTTTTTGGGTGAGGGTCTATTATTTTGTCTTTGTTAGTTGATTATTCTTGTTTCCATGAGTCAGGATTACTCAATTGGTTTTTGTAGTAGAATGGCACCCAAAACAATCGGAGAGCAGCATTGGTTGTAACTATTGTCATTTGTTTGTCAATCGATATGCATTTATAGTGGAATTTCTTTTCTTTTGTGATTTATCTTCTTTCACGTTGTCCAGTATCAAATCTATTTTACCAGACATGCCATATATGTTTAAAATACACCTGCCTAACTTCGAGATTATAAGAACCCGTGAAGGGGCCAGAATTTTCAGTTTTGGAGGGCGGGTAAAGAAAATAAATATTGATGGAATTATGAAAAAACTAAAAATGACAAACTATGCAAATAGTACTAAAATGATGGGGACTGAAAAGTCCAATGTTGAAGGTTAAGACTAATTGTGCAATTTTTTCACCGAAGTAAAAATGTTACCACTATGTTAACACCTGCAGTAACTTCGGACTAGTGCAACCATGGCTCGGGATTCCATCTGACTTTGCATTTATTTTTATTTTTTTTGATAAAAAGTGACTTTGCATTTATGGACCTTGGTTCTTAAGACATTCAAGGTCGAGACATCTAAAAATTCAATATGTTAAGGGTTAGATAGCATGTTGGGTAAAGTAATTTGGAGGGATAAAAATCTAATAAATTCTTCGACTTTTTTACATGTTTCAAATTTATCTTTGAACTAAAACTCCAAATTTTTGTACTTCAATATGTGATTCTTGAATGCCCTTTTGTCGACAATCCAAATTTTATTTTGAGGACGGATGTGAAATGGATGTTAAGCTCCTATTTGGTTCAGATAAATGATCTTATTAAAATTTAAGTCAAAGTTAATAATTAAGTTTAATTGTACATTATATGAAATTCATATTTTTTTAACCACATATTAATCTGTATCAAAATTTATTAAAAATCTGATTGTTGTCTTTAAATAGGAGCTAAAGTATGATCATTAATTTGAAGTGTTTTGTGTTCAATGATTGATTTAGAACACGTGCACAAGTTCAAAAACTTATTGAGCTTATAATCCTGAATCTTTTTTATTTTGCTCGTGATATAACATCTAAAATTATCGATTCTTGGTGAAGTGTCACATTTGTCCAATAAATAAAGATTCCGCGCAAATTATCGTAGATTAGATTGCAACAAAATTAGAAAGTTGTCTCGAATGGTAAGAGAGTGTTACGCTATTTATACAAGCTCTTTAACTTGATAGAAATTAGTGGCATAAAATAACGTTACAAAATTTAAAATTTTACATTTGGTACAAGGATTCTACATCGAGATTAAGGAATGACTCAAATATAATTATAAATAACTGAAAATAAAAATTAAATGGTGGCTGTGGGGTTCGAACCCACGCGCACTTATGTGCAGAAGATCTTAAGTCTTCCCCCTTAACCACTCGGGCAAACCACCATATTTGAAGCATCTGTACCTCAAATATTTTATTAATAATTCATGTTAGGATTAAGGCATCCTCATTTATTTTGATTTATGTTATATTTTGTTTATGAATTAAGAAAAATTAAAACTTTTTTTTTGGCTTAGGCCAGATAGGCAGACGACGTCGTCACAAGTCAAATGGTGTAACCCTCTCCTCTTTCTCCAAATTCCCAAATCACACAATTGAACTCCAAAAATCGGTTTTTATCATCATCATAAATGGCGGAGCATTTGGCATCGATATTTGGTACGGAGAAGGATCGAGTGAACTGCCCCTTTTACTTCAAGATCGGCGCGTGCAGACACGGGGACCGGTGTTCCAGGCTCCATACCAAGCCCAGCATAAGTCCAACAATATTGCTGTCTAACATGTACCAGCGTCCTGACATGATCACTCCTGGTGTTGATGCTCAGGGTCAGCCCATCGATCCCAAAGCGATACAGGAACATTTTGAGGTAAAGCCAGTTTTGGGAGGAAGATTTGTTTTAGAGATTCCTATTGTTGTTTTAATTGATGTTGTTAATATGTTGCGGAAATGATTTACTGTAATTAAGCTACGGTAGAGGGTTATTTGTTGATAGTGGTGATTTCGACGAAGTTTAACTTAATATGGTCGAATATGAGGTTGAACTAGTTTTCTGTGAATTTTTTGACGAAGGGTTTATTTACGGTTTTGAACTCTAGTTTTGTTGTAGGATTATTTCTTTGGTTGACTAAAGTTTTTCGGATCTGGCATTATTTTTTTCCCCCCTATTTTGGGATGACTAAATTTGAGAAATCTAAATCTACATTTGGTATTGTTGAAGATTACTGGGTCACTGTATCCTTTCTTCATTTTCTTTGACCTTTCTCTTTTGCTCTTCTAGAAAATTTAAGATTCAAACTGGTCTCACTTTATTTCATGATGATGATTTATCCTATGAGATTATATGGGCGTTGTATCTGCTCATGATATCTTTCTGTGGATGGCCCCTGTGGGATTTAATAGCATGGTTATTTACTTTCTATTGATGTTTAGGATTTTTATGAAGACTTGTTTGAGGAGCTCAACAAGTATGGAGAGATTGAAAGCTTGAACATCTGCGACAATTTGGCTGACCACATGGCAAGTTCCCTTGACCTGTTCATGTGGTATTCTATTGGCATTTTCATTCTTCTTGTTTTTTTGATCATATTAATATTCATATCCTGTATTTGGCAGGTTGGCAATGTTTATGTTCAGTTCAGAGAGGAAGAGCATGCTGCAAATGCGGTGAAAAATTTGACTGGAAGATTTTATGCTGGTACTGGATTACATCTTGCTGTTCTTCATTATTGAGTTTTCTTAGTAGTTTGTCAACGCTTGTTTACTGTGTTACAGAACTTTAATAGGGATAATACCTGGTATTGCATGCATATACTATTTGCACCTTACAAAAATTCTGTTCAGTACATACATAACTCCATCTTCGTTTTTAAGTTTATACTTATTCTCTATTTACCCAAAAGTGGGAGGTGGTGAATTTTACAACTGTCATTACCTAATTTTAGATGACGCAACCTATTGTTTGACATGTTCAAATTCATTCAGTAAGTATATTAGCACGGCAGCACCTTGTGTTTCTATATTCAAAAATATGGTACACTTTCTAAACCTGGCCATTTGAGTATCCATCTCTCTCTATTTTGGTAAATTTAGCTCTTGTTTGAGCCCCATTTTGAAAGAAAAAAAAGGCATTTTTGAATATTGATTTTTGGAGAATGTGTGGTTAAAAATGAAGAATGAGTTTTCTATTTATGTGTAATATTATTTTATTAGAGAATGTGTGGTTGAAAAAATGAGTTTTTGATAAAATGGGGCTCAAACAAGGGTTTAGTTTCCCCTCCTTTCTTGAAGGTTTCCGTTCATACATTGTCACCATGTCCCAACATCCGTTGCATTCCTTATAGGAGAAATATGTGGATAAATATGCTGTTGTGAAATACTCACATAGTTTTTTCCTGTTTTTGACACCAATTCCATGGCTAATATAGGCTTAAATTGCCTTATTTTCATGGCTATATGTCCAGTCTGAAATTATTTTCCCCTTTGTTTGAGATTCTGTGTACTGTGGTTTATTGACGAATATTACAAGGAGTCTGTTAGATTTTATTTCACTGTAATAAGTTATTTTCATGTAGTATTCAAAAAGAAAAGAGAAGAAAAGATATCCTGGTGCATCTGCTGATGCCAAATATCATATCTGCAGGACGGCCCATTATTGTTGATTTTTCTCCAGTGACTGATTTTCGTGAAGCTACCTGTAGGCAGTATGACGAGAATACTTGCAATCGTGGTGGGTACTGCAACTTTATGCATCTGAAAAGAATTAGCAGGTAAAAGCCTGACCTTTCTTGTGGTGGAAAAGTAAGAAAAGTGGTTAAGTTTTGATCGTTTGCTAATGTGTCTTATATGTGACAATAATTAGGGAGTTGAGACGCCACTTGTTTGGGAGATACAAGAGAAGGCGTAGCAGAAGCAGAAGCCCTTACAGGCACCGTAGCTATGAAGAGAGCTCTCATGGCCATCACAGTCACAGTAGGAGATATGATGATCGTGATTACCATGAGGGTCGCAGCAGGAGGCGCAGAAGTACAAGTCCTAGTCATAAGAGGGGTAGAAGCAGGAGCCCAGGTGGAAGGAAGGATCGCAATCCTGTTAGGGAAGGTAGTGAAGAAAGACGAGCTAAAATTGAGCAATGGAACAGGGAAAAGGAAGAGGCAGAACGCTCTAACAAGGTCAATGCTGGTGGGGCTGATGATAGAAATGAAAATGATGACAATGGTTACGTGCAGAATGGAGATCAGTACCAGGCCCAGGAGCCACCACAGCAAAGTTGATATGGATACTGACGATTTGAGCACTGGTTCGTTGTTCTTATCTTTTGAGCATCATTATTCTTTCCTCTTAAGTAAAAACTTTTATTTTTTCTGAGAGCCCACCTGTCCTTTTAGTATAGCTTATTGCGCATTTTCCACTGTGCAGGTGGTGTGCAGGTTTACAATTCTGTCTTAAGGAATGTGAAAAATAATGTCAACACTTATGTGCTTTTCTGATCCTTTTCAACATGCTTGATTTGTGTGCTTGACTGCATGGAAAGGTTATAGTACACGTCACTACACCAGAGTTCACTGAGCTACCATACACCCTTCCAAATTATGTTGTTATGGTAGTCAAAGTATTTTTGTGGCTGATCTGCTCCGTCTCTCTATGTGATCCCCTTCATCTTTGCTGCCATATCTATTATGTTTAATACGCACACCAGCTATTCATTTCCTTTTAAATAGGGAACCTATTTAGGCACCGTAATGGTTTGTCATTACCTATATTATTGAAAAATACTAGTTTTCTGCCCTCTATGCAAAAATCACAAATTCTTTTTCCATTCAATTCAACTGGCCTTTATTATAACCTTGCAAAACAAAATCTCCGTGATAACCAATTTTTTCTGTTTCCTTTCATCAATGTCTACTTTTTATGTGCTATAACTAATCCAAATTTGTCACTGAAATTGAGAGGATATTAAACAATATGCTGAGTTCATAACTGTTAAATAAGATAATAATTTATTAAGATTTCCATTTGACTTAGATGCTGTTTCTTGAAAGAAAGTGTGGGGTTCATATGTTTTTTTTTTTTTTTATAGAAATCTGGCAATTAAAAACAAATGATCTAGGACATAATTTTCTGTGTCATAACTCTGTTAACCACTTAGGATGGTTTGTTATTGATATAGTAACTTTCTTCTGAATGCTGTCAATGTTTTGTATCTCAATTATTAACTACTGCAAATGTCACTCAGTACTACTTGTTCAGTTGCCTTGGAATTATGTAACTTGTATTGATCTTCGCTTCTTGCAATCAAGGTTTTTAGTTTTATATTTAATCTGAACTGGACCATCGGCGATTCATGCTCTCATAAACAACTTGCATTGGAAGTTTAATTAATTACACACATCTCCTTTGTTATTTGTCATTGCTTGTTTGCTTGTATATGCAATTTGGCCCAACACAACCCTGCTAGTGAGTTTTCACTGATCTCTGGTTCAAATCTTCTTTCTTTAAGTTACAGATCTCACTGTATATTGAGTGTTGCAGGTCCAGGTTTCCTGCTTATAAGGATCGAGAACTTATTTAAATCATGTGTACAGGTGTTTTGGTGCAAGCCAGACCGTTTGGTTTAACAGGAATTTGTAGGGCAGAGCTGGAAAGGTGAAGAACTCCATTGGTGCTGGAAGTTGTCGAGATCCCAAAATCTCAATACTCTTGTTTTCCTTGCAGAAATGCAGGTTAGAACTTAGAAGCAGCAACGTAGTTCGTTTGCTTTGTTGGACAGTTTCATGTTATGGTAGGATGTCTTATTATCTTCGATATCTTGGTTGAATCGATTTGTATTAACGGATTTGAAGGTCTGCGTGATAGTCCCAGATTTAATTTCTAATGGTATTTCTTGGAAATGAATATTCGTATGAGCCATCTTCCTAGATACTGTTTCTTTCAAAATTCACAAGTAGATTATGTATGTTTCGAAATTCCAGTACTAGTTTGATGTACGAGTTTTTTGCCTTCTATGCGATTTGAATGGTCTTCTCAATATGCTATGGTCTATGGAGTTACTATGTTGACAAGTATCATGAAAATAGCAAGACAAACTAGAAACGTTAATGGTTTACATAAGCTGTTCTACGTAAGACTTCAAGGAGCAAGTGAGAGCTCTAGTGAGAACGTGCCACCGAGATTATTCTGCAATCATGAATTCTCAACGAACAAAACTGATGTCACAATTTGAACAATCATGCTACATGTATGGGACATCTTTGAAATCATGTGAGTTGACAGATTTTTATACAATAATTTTAAAAATATCTTTTTCAATCAATGATCAGAGTTTTTACGTGCATGCCTGTCAAAAAGGTTGTCATCGGACCGTGTACAAGAGGCATAATTGCAATTTGAATTACTAAGACCAAATTTAAAGCTGCTAACACAATAGATTTGGAAGTAGGGAAAAAAGAAGAAAATTGTTTTTTTTTTTTCAAAGATAAACTAAGCCACTGATGTCTAGTATTATTTAAAATTAATTTTTCATCAAAATCATTCTTAGGCACACATTTTTATAATAAAATATTTTGTACGCAAACTCAAAATTATATCATATTTTTCAACTACACATTCTTCTAAAATTCAATATTTTGACTCATTTTCCTACTTTAAGGTTTGTTTGAACCACATTTTTGGAATGGTAGATTACTGGAGAATATGTGATTGAAAAAGAATAAAAAGTTATTAGTGATAAAAAATATTATTTTATTGAAGAATGTGGTTGAAAATGAATAAAAGAATAAAAATGAAAATTTTAATTGACTCAAATAGGGACCTAAGGGTAGACAAACAGAGGATCCCTTTGTACTTGAGTGGATCAAATTCTCTCAAGTCTCCTATCCAATAAATGCAATAGCGAAATTGTGAACAAAACAATTGTCTATTCTTAAAAATTGAAGTTAAAACTCTCCCAAAAAAAATTCTATCGACATATAGAAACTCTAAACATAAGAAGTTCAGAATTTCATCGTGTGGAGAGAAATGCATTAGCCATAATCTGACAAAATTGAGCTGGATACTCTATTCTTCAAAGTAAAAAAATAAATAAAAATCCATAAGGTGCTTCCGTATTTTGCTATTGTAAGAATATCTAACAAAAACTTCAATGGATGAATCCCCTCTAGTAAGTCTGGTCTCCTACTTGGTTTTTTTGCCAGTCGGAGTTTTTCCAGACTTTTTTGAAGCGTAAGGAGTTGCCTTGTGAATGCTTTTATTGCCTACACAAAAGAATTTAATTAACCGAGAATCCACAGTACATTTTGAAATCTCAGATAGAATATACATATAGCTGAAATATCAGGTATCTTATGAAGGGGAAAAAAAATAATTTCTGTTTTACCAGTAGCCATTTTTGCTTTTTTGTTGGAAACGGGAGTTTCCAACACAGAAGATGGCCTTTTCTTGGGCTGCTGCACCTTTAATAATACAAGAAAAAAATCAACAGAAGTTGCATATATTTTTAGATCATACATTATAAAAATAGTAAATTCAAGTACCTTTGGCGTTTCTTCATCACTGGAGTCATCACTCGCATCCATCAAATCTTCCGAGTCCTAGACATGATCCAACTTATTGAAATCAGTGGGGAACAGAAAAACGGAAGTATTTGTATTGAATGATCTCGAAGGAAGCAAACAAAGAGATTCAGGCAAATAACCCAGTAAAACTCCTCGAGTAATGAGAATGGAGACATACTATTTCTCCTGATAAATCATCAGATCCACTATCGTCTGAATCAACATCATCATCATCATCTTCACCGTCATCAGATTCAGGGGCCTCTTCTTTCTTAGTTCCAGTCTTAGCAGCAGTGGCCGTATCTTTTGTAGGCTTCACGTCCTCAACCTTGAGCTGGGGTTTACCTGAGGAGTTAACAAACCTAAACATTAACTTCTTGTTTCCCACATTTGATGTTGAAGAGTAAAAGAAACCAATGAAACTTAAAACTGTAAGTGCATTTTAAGGTAAAGCCATGAAGAACACAGGCAGAATGACAGAGAGAAAGTGATCATTGACATACCACCATTTTCAAGAGCCTCAATCGGATATTCTTCATCATCAGATTCATCTGAAAAATCATGCTCATCTAGATAAAACGAATAATTGCATCAGTTCCATCAAAACAGGACAACAAAAACTGAATATCCTTTATCTACAGGAATGCACATCCCAAAACACACCACCATTTCAAAGTTAAATATTAATTGTTCGGCAGAAACTATCGCCTGTCTTGACTTCAAGAGAAATGGGAAGGGAAAAACACTTCTTTCCTTGAGGGATGAAAATCAGAGATACAAAATTGCTTCATGCCTTGCAACTATCAAACTAACACAAACTTGAGAAAGCATCAAAACATTAAATTCCCAAGGAAGACATCTTATTCACATATGCAATAAGACAATGATGTCTGCACTAGACAATACTTTGTAACGTCTTCAACGAAGAATAAAACACATCACACACAATTCTTTCAAAGTTAGCTCACATAATCACACTCGCACAGCACTAAGCAAGAATGAAACATGATGATAATAACTGATATAAGTAAAACATATGTACCTTCAATTTGATCATCAGCGATATAGCCAATAAAGTAGACACTCCCACTTTTCCAGTCATGAGAGAGCTCAAACTCCCTCTCAAATACCAAGTCAAACATCACCTGAGGTCTATCCTCTGCTGAAAGAGTTCCTATTACATATTTGTTAGTATCAATCTTCATACGAATGGGAACATGTTTTGCTCCTTTCACATCTTTCACCTCTCCTAGTGCTGCCTAAAATAGTAGCAAAATAATTCAGCATTTATAACCTCGTAATACAAAAAGGCGCTGTACTACAACAAACTGCAAATTCCAACCTGTGAAATATGAATCAGTTTGCCAAACTCAGGTTGAACCTTCAGCGATTCCCCAGCTTTAACTTCAACTCCTGCATAAATCGTGCAAATTTAACATTCAGAAGGAAATAAAACGCAAATATAAATTACTTCATTGACACACTATATCCTCTACTATTCTGATAAAGTCATGAATATGTCCCCTCGGACTTTAAACTATGGGAGATAAGTTTAATTATTTAATCAGCAGAGAAAAACATGAAATTTGACAAAAGGCATATACTTATCAGGACCTGCAAACAACCACGTAATATATAAACAACATGGAATCAACAAAGTAGGCAAATTTAGCAGCCGTGGAAACATTATTTAAATCAAATTGCTCACAGGGTATTGTAGAAGAAAACAATTATTAATAAAAAAAATCACTTTGTGCCACAATTGAAAGGAGAGCATGTTTGGCTGAGCACAAGAAAATGTAATATTTTTTTTTAACTAAAAAGGAAGTTTCAAAAGTTAAATTTTTTTTTGCTTTTAAGGGGAAAAAAAAAGAATCTTTGTTTGAAATTTCTTGTGCTTATAAGCAAAAGTTTTTAAGCTTAGCAAAGCATGCTCTATCCCAAAATATAAGGTTAAAGCAATAGATTCTAAAGGAATTGAACTCAAACACAGAGCTAAAACACTCTTAACAAAATAGTTTAACAACAAATAAAAGATCATGTAACCCCGTTTATATTATCAATCACAGAGATAAAATACTGAAAAAACAAACTCACGGTTCTCAGCCAATAAAAAATCACATAACATAGTTTATGATTGTAAAAAAATAATAATGATTATACTCGTTGAAACAGATTGGAGTAATACTAGTGGAGCTGAGAAACGATATTTACCCCAAAATTCCATGTTGAATAACGACGTAGAGAAAGCAGAGAGATTTGAAGCAGAAGACAACGTATTTGTGTGGTTTTTGTAGGAGGGGTTGAGGGTTTTATAGAGGTTTAACGAGGGAAGGAAATTTGCAATTCAGGCCGACCTAGGGTTTTCAAAATATTTTTATTCGAGATGTGATTCTTATTTTAATGGGCCGATTTCATCTGGCCCAGATTTGCAAATTATCGACTCGCCCTCACCAAACCAATGTATTATTTCCTATGACTGAAAATATCGACTCGTCTTTTTTGAACATGTATTGTTCTCACAGTATATATCTATTACGACGTGTCGTTTAGCGGTGGACAAAAATTTCGGATCCAATTGAATAGTTCGGCTTGCTTTTTCTTAAGTTTAAAATAGGCATTTAGTATTAGAATCATGAATTAATGGGTTTGATTTCATTTCTGGTTCTAGACCAGAAATGAATAATCGAAAGGAAGAATCAAATTTGTCGATTTTTATTTTATTTTTTTCATAATTGAACCAAGCAACGGATGATTAAATTGCTGGTGAATATTACTAATATCATAAAATATTATTTCTATTACTTTTCATTTATATTTCATGTTTTTTTACGTAGATTTGTTGGCTTGAAGCGAATGTATCAACGTGATGGAAATGAAATTTGCTTATGTTTTATTGTTATTTAATTTTCGATCATTCGTGCATGTTGGTAAATTAATTTTATTAGACACTACTTATTTTGTTTTAAGTTTGGATTATATTTGTCATTTTGCATTAAGATTATTTGTAGATTGTTGTGTTGTTTCAAATATTAGGAAAATTAAAATTGTTGTTCGAATTATGAGAAAATTGAAGAACTTAAATGAAGTATGGTACATAATCTGGGGCGGACCCACATGGGGTCATGTGGGGTCAAATGACCTCACAAATAATTTGAGTTTTTTTCTTCTTTTTTTTTTTTTGTAATTAGAACTTGTGAGAGAAAGAGTGAATGGAGAGAAAGAGTCCATTATATCGGAATATTATATTATTTAATCAATTAAGCCCTTGTTTGCCCCCCATTATATCACATTCCATTACATTAATTTTTTTTCTCTCTTCATCTCAACCATCCATTCATCAAATAAAATAATAATACACACAAATCAAAAACTTTTCAACCACACATCTC